AAAAAAAAAAAAAAAAAAAAAAAAAAAAAAAAAAGGAAACAAGATACCTCTTTTCTCTTTCTCTTTGACAGTCATTTCCTAGGAACAAAAGCCTTTCCCTTGTCTGGCTGACTGTCACTCCAGCAGGGGCTGAACTGACATTCAGGAGGTTGCGGGCTTAGGCACCAGGTTGAGCTTTGCACATTAGGGATAGGGATGCCCTTAGTTGACAAAGCACAGCCCCCTTCTCAGGGTGAGGCCCCAGAAGCTCCAGACCTGGGAATTTTCTTCCTGCAGCAAATGGCTCCAGTAGCACCCGGGAAGATGTAGGACAGTGCCCAGTGACCATAGAGACTTCTGTGTCTGAATCGGGGTTGGGGGTGTATCAGCAAGGTGGGGCGCTCCTCATCACATGGGACTCCTCTTACTAATGCCTTTGAGAGATGTCACAGAGAGGGGACAATTCAGGAACTGGGGAACACTTCTGAAGAAGGTGACATTGGAGTCAGGGCTGTTGATTCTCTCTGCAAGGACTGGGTCCCCTTCCGCTCGCTCTCAAGGCTGCTCTGGGTCTGCTCCCTGCCATTTCCTATGGCTGTAACAGATCTGGCTGCTCTTTACTACTTCTCAGACATAAATTTGTCCAAATTTGTCCTGGGGTCAGCAGAGGCTGCGTCCAGGCCAGGTGCGTCTAGGGTAAAGCAAACATACTGAAATCGACATCACGCCAGGGGCTGTGCACACTGGGCACTGGGACTTGGAAATAAGTCAGATACAGCCCTGCCCTCAGAAAGTTCAAGCCCATGCTGGAAGACAAGGCATGAACAGATCATTGCATCTCAGTGTGATGCATGCAGTGACTGCAAGCCCCAGGGAGAGTGTTGTAGGGAAGTGCCTTTCCTAGCTTTATACTAAAACACATTCATAACAATTCTAGAAGAGAAAAGAGTCAGTCAAAGGATCTTAAAGGAAGAGTAGGAGTTGGCTACCAAGAAGAGGGAACAGCATGTGCAAAATCATGGAAATGTTCCGGTGCTTGGTGAACCTGAGAAAAGCTGTGTGCATTTGAAGCGTGGGGCTTAACCGAGCCCTTCCGAGTGCCAGGCACTGAGCCAAGCACTTTATGAACATTATCCCATCCGATCCTCATGAGAGCCCAGTTTACACAAGAGGCTCAGAGAGGTCAATCCACTCACCCCTCCGTCACAGAGCCTGTTAGTGGTGGCAGAACTCAGGTCAGTAGGACTCTAGGGTCCAAGGTTCCGGTGAAGCCCAGGCATCATTGAAATAGAAGAGCCTTAATTGCTGGAACCCTGGGATGAGGATTTTCGAAGACTTCAAACCAACTGGAAAAATCTGAAGGAAAAGGGCAATTTTCCATGAACTTTTGTTCCTCCTGAAGCTCTCCAAATCTTCACATTTCAAAATGTACAGTGCATGATGCATTTTAAAGCTCCAAATTGACAGTGTAATTCTAGATCATCACAGGGCTCTCAAAAGTGAAGTAGGTCTGATTTCCCCCAAGGTTTCCATTCCTCTCTCTTCAGGAGGTAGAAGCAAGTTTTTGCTTCTGGCTTCAAAATGCCCTACAATTTCGTATCTTTTCTTGTAACAGAAGTAGTGGTGAAAGCTGGAGTCAGATTTTGGCTTTCCCTCTCTGTGCCTCAGTTTCCTGCTCTGCAGAATGGACTTCCTTTACAAGGTTGTTGTGAGGATTTAATGAGTTAATGTATAGATGGGGTCCAGAGCACAGGTAAGCTCTTAGCACATGGTAAGTAGCTCTTATTACCTAGAAGTGGAGCTGCAGCACAAGGTCAGAGCTGGAGACCTAGAGGGAAAAGTTGATGAGCTTTCAGGGACAGCAATGAAGAGAAAAGAGACGGGGGACCCACCCTGGGGATCCCCCTGCTTTCTAGGCTCAGGAACCACAGTGGAGAGTGAGAAGCTGCCTGAGAAGCAGGAGGAGGATGGGGAGAATGTGTTGCCATGGAAACTGGAGGAGGAGGGCGTTCCGGGGGGGGGGGGAGGGAATGATGGATAATGTCAGGTGTCATAGAAGAGAGATTGGAGGTGGGGAGGGCAGGAGGGTGATGGGAATAAACGACAGCCTTCAAGTTGAGTTTCCTATGTGGCTTGGGAAGGCCTAAATCTGGATTCAAAGCTCTGAAGCTAACTGGCTGTGTGACCTAGGCAAGGGATTTGCCCTCTCTGAGTTTATGTTTTCTCTTAGCTCTAAGACGAGGGAATGGATGAGTCTCTAGTATGATGTTCAGTCTCTAATAAGAGTCCTGGTTTTGCTGGATTCTTGGCTGCTTGCCAGCAGTATGATCTTAGGCAGGTAACTTCACTTCCACGAGCCCCATCTGAAGACTAGGGATGTGGTGAGGGAGGTGCCTGCCAAAGTGCCTGGCACATAGTAGGCCCCCAACACAGAATTATTCTGTGACAATAGTGGGGAGCCAGAGGCAGCTGTCTAAGGAGGATTGCTTAGCTTGGAATTTGAAATGCTCCTCAAGGTGGAGGAAGCCCCCAGGGCCCCGAGAGGACTTGGAGGAGCCTGGTCCAGACTGAGCCCCCACCAGGCCTCTGCCCAAAGGCCAGCCTCTCTGTTTTCAGCAGTGGATCCTTAGCCTGGCCTCTGGCCACCTTCTCTGCCTGGACCTACTGCAGATCCAGGCCGGGAACCAGCTCAGAGGCTCCAAACCCCTAGGGAGCGACCCCACTCCCACCCCCCACCTCCAGAACATGGTCCCAGCACTCACACACAGCACTACACACAACTTTCTCTTGTCACTTATTTATTCATTATTATTTTTTAATTCCTGGGCACTGAGCACATAGCGCTGGCGGCTCCGGGGAGTGTGGGGAGAGAGGGCCTGGGCCCGACCCCGACTCCGAGCTCACAGATGTTGGGGGACCGGAGGAGACTGGGGACTAGCACAGCCCGCTGTGGGTTCTGGCAGCAGGCAGCTTGGGAGTTGAAAATGGGGCCCAGAGGGGCTGGTGAGAGCCTTCGTTTATCCTGACATGGTAGAGCGCTGGGCTGGGTGCTGCGCGGGTTCTGGCCCCACCAGCAGTGCCGGCCATGAGCCCCCCACCTGGTGCAGAGTGCTCTCCCACCCACCTCAGTGAGAGGCCAGCAGAGCAAGAATAGTGTGCGATACACAGCCCCCGTCTCTGTTCCAAGCACTTTACATGGGTAATTTATTTCATCTTCACAGCATGACTCTGAGGTAGGCACCATTACAATGATTACCCCTAAGTTACAGATGAGGAAACTGAGGCTCAGCGAGGGGAGTGGCCTGCCCAAGGCCACATGGCTTGCCCATGGCTGCGCCAGCTAGGATCCCATCTTAGATCGGTCAAGTTCACTTCCTCTGCTTTCCCCCGCCTTCCTCCCACGAGGAAACTGATTATGCAGAG